TGGACTGTAAACTAACACTGAAGACCAGAATATCAATAAAAATATTTACCCAATAAATATAATAAAGTGCATCAGCTTCTTGGCTGGCAATTACCAATATAACACCAGACTTGTATCTCTGAAAGTTCTGAAAATCTCTGAGATTTTTGTGATCTAATCTACATTAGCGAATGTTTTTTATGCTAGTTAGAAAGAAATAATAAAAATAAGCAGCTACTTTCTAAGTCATAGCAGCATCTCTTGGAGGCCCCAGCATCCACGACCCCAAAAAAAGCATTGAAAACCTGAGGCCACACATCCCAATGACACATGTGCGTCCACCCCAGCAGGGGGAGAGGGAAGCTGGACAGAGCTCCCATAGCCAAGGGCAGGAGTGCCAGGGAACCAGAGGCAGCAGACAGGCCGGCAACCCCAGCACAAGCCAAGGATGGGGCCCCAGACCCCCAGCCCCAAGAACTGCCTCACAGCCAGCGGAGTGCCCACCATGCAACTGAGAGGCCCGAGCCACTCCAGACCACAACCCCCACAGAAGCAGGCCAGCAACCAAAACACCCAGTCTACCCCCAGGTAGACCTGTGGCCCGACAGCTGACTGTCTTTCTCTATTCATATTCAACACGTAGTTAGAAAATTTGTAATTAAACTAAAATTCTTGCATAGTCCAGTCATCGAGATGCAGAATCCACTGTGGATAGTTTGTTTGTCTGTCACGATGCAGGAGATAAATAATAAAATCCAGTAAATACTTAAACAATAGGCAATCCCTATGTCTACATTAAGTTTGGTAGAATTGGCTTCCTGTACAAAGCAGTGTTTGAACAGAATGAACATGAAACTGCCTTTAAACTGGAGTCCATCCTTCTGCAGTGAAAGACCGTTCTCTTTCTAAGATTCTTGCATCTCTCAATGATTCTTTTTCTTGCTGATTTTAAATGAAAATTCAGTCACTATTTGTGGAGGTCAGAATCAGAATCAGAATCAGAATGGGGTTTATTGCCAGATGTTGAGGTTTACAACATTAGGAAATTGCTGCGGTGCTTCAGTGCAAACATGGTGTCATAAATAGCACTTAAATAGACATGAAAAAAAAAATAAAAGTAGGAATAAGAATTAAAGTGCTATGTAGAAAGATATGTGCATGGGATATACATGAGATATATACATGAGAATAAGAATTATGAGTGCTACGTAGAAAGATATATACATGAGTGCAGGTGGTGATCAGTGCCAAACATGGAATGATGGAGTGACACAGCGTAGGGTCATGTGTTAGTGGCGGGAACAGTCATATGGTTATTGTTCATGTGACCAACAGCAGAGGGGAAGAAACTGTTCTTATGGCGAGAGGTTCTGGTGCGAATGGACCGGAGCCTCCTGCCTGAGGGGAGCAGGTCAAACAGACTGTGTCCAGGGTGAGAAGGGTCAGCTGAGATCCGAGCTGCACGCCGCAGTGTCCTGGAGGTGTACAGGTCCTGCAGAGATGGGAGTCTGCAGCCAATCACCTTCTCAGCAGAGCGCACAACACGCTGCAGTCTCTGTTTGTCCCTGATAGTGGCTCCAGCGTACCACACGGTGATGGAGGAGGTGAGGATGGACTCGATGATTGCGGTGTAGAATTGCATCATCGTCCGTGTTGGCAGGTTGAATTTCTTCAGCTGACTCAGGAAGTACATCCTCTGTTGGGCTTTCTTGATGACGGAGGTGATGGTGGGCTCCCACTTCAGGTCCTGGGTGATGGTGTTACCCAGGAAGCGGAATGAGTCCACAGAGGTGATGGGGGTGTCAGTCAGGATGATGGGGGGGAGTGGGGCTGTGTGCTTCCTGAAGTCCACAATAATCTCCACTGTCTTCTGGGCATTCAGCACCAGGTTGTTGTGGCTGCACCAGGACACCAGACGTTCAACCTCCTTCCTGTAGGCAGACTCGTCCCCGTCCGAGATGAGCCCATCTCATCTGCAACCTTTATTAGCTTGACAGACTGGTGGGTGGAGGTGCAGCAGTTGGTGTACAGGGAGAAGAGCAGAGGAGAAAGAACACAGCCCTGAGGGGAGCCGGTGCTGATGGTCCGGGAGTCCGAGACATTCTTTCCCAGCCTCACATGCTGCTTCCTGTCCGTCAGGAAGTCAGTGATCCACCGGCAGATGGGATCAGGCACATTCATCTGGGAAAGCTTGCCTTGGAGATGGTCTGGAAGGATGGTATTGAAGGCAGAACTGAAGTCCACAAACAGGATCCTGGCGTAGGTTCCTGGGGAGTCCAGATGCTGCAGGATGAAGTGTAGGGCCATGTTGATGGCGTCGTCTACAGACCTGTTGGCTCTGTATGCAAACTGCAGGGGGTCCAGGAGGGGGGCCGTGAGGGTCTTGAGATAGGAGAGAACCAGGCGCTCAAATGACTTCATGACCACAGATGTCAGAGCCACGGGTCTGTAGTCATTTAGTCCAGTGATCCTAGGTTTCTTGGGGACAGGGATTATGGTAGAGGACTTGAAGCAGGCAGGCACATGACATGCCTGCAGTGAGGAGTTGAAGATGCCAGAAAACACTGGGGCCAGCTCGTTTGCACAGTGTCTGAGGGTGGCAGGAGACACAACGTCTGGGCCGGGAGCTTTCCGAGCATTCAGACTCCTAAACTGCTTCCTCACATCTGCTTCATGAATATGAAGAGTTGTGGTGGGAGGAGGTGGTGTGAAATCCTCTATTGTGTGGGGTGAGGAGGGGGGTGTTGCAGGTGAAGTGTTTGATGATGGTGATGGCTCTATGGAGGGGGGAGAGGTGGGGGAATTAGTGTCCAAAGTGCCTCTATTGTTGGGGCCGTTGGAGGTGTGAAGGCTGCCTGATGGCTCGTCAAAACGGCAGTAAAAGTCGTTAAGGGTGTTGGCCAAGAGCAAGTCGTCAGTGGAGTGGGGGGTTTTAGGCTTGTAGTTTGTGATATTCCTAAAACCTTTCCACACAGAGGCCGAGTCATTCTCTGAGATCTGCTGCTGCATCTTCTCAGAGTGCTGATGTTTAGCAATGTCCACTTCTTTAGTGAACCTGTACTTGGCCTCTCTGGTCATAGTAGCTAGCAGGATTTCATTCCCTGCTGAGATTAACTGCAACACCGTTTGAAAAATTTGTTTTTTGCGTTCCTTGATCCCTTCATCTTTATGTAGTTTAACTGGATTTAAGGAGTGGCACATTTGATCACAATCAGGGATTGGCCCTTCCCAAAAGAAATGAGATCACAGTTTTTAGTCTGTAAACCTGACAGTTTTGTGAGTCAGTGACTTGGACCTCCTCCTTCCTTGAAAGCTCTTTTGCAATATTGCGTTTAAACAGTAGGTTTTCATTTCCAGGCTGTTAAAAACCAGTAAAGCAGCCCAGCATGTGTCTTACAGGTGTGGAGTCATTAAGGGAATCTTTCCTAGGCTAGGCTTGGCAGTGTCTAGCATGCCATGGCATAATGAGCAAAGCGTCACTATGCTGGTGTTACCTCACTCTTTTTCCTGTAAGCTGGTGGATCTCTGTCAGCTGAGACTTACATACAGAATCTGTCACTGAACACATAGGAATAAACATTAAAGGTTAACAAACTGTTAACAAATCATTTACCTACTGTTTACCTCAACTGCTTCTTGACAAATAACCTAGCAGCACTTGCCAAATCTGTAGGTAGACATAAGTTCAAATAATTTCTTACTAACCACCTTGGGCAACATGTGTAGTGTAAAGAGGATGGAAGTGTGAAGTAAATTGCTAATAACACTACACTAGCAAGTCTTGATGAGATGGCAGCTCTTCTCATGCCCAGGCTAACAAAACTTGTAAGTGGCTACCTGTAGCTCATTAGGTAGGTAAGAACTAATGGGAAACTTGGTGGTTCAGTCCCACGCTGCTCCAGTGTAGATGCCAAATATCCATCGGCAAGATGCTGGACCAAAGTTGTCTCTAACGCATCCATCAGAGTATAAATGTGCTTGCATGAATGGATGAGTGAGGCATGTGGTTGAGGCATGATTGAGGCAATGCTTAGAGTACTCAGGTGGAGTAAAAAACTGCCATATAAGAACCAGTCCATTTACTAAGTTGACCAAGTGCAGGTGTAACAGTTGTTTGCCAACAGTCGATCTTTATTATTCATTAATATTTTTAATCCCCTGCAGATTGACAGTTAACCATGTCACACACTCAAGGCTTGTGTTTCTGAGCTCATGAATAACTGTTTTTAGGGGTTTTAAAAAAATTATTTTTCTTTAGACTTGTGGTCCTCACAGGGCAACCACTAAAAATACACAGAATATAAAGTTTTTAAATGAGCTCAACCTTAAACACATGCATCAGTACTATTAATCAATTTAACACTGATGGCAAACATTTCTCTGCAGAAAAAATATTCTTACTTTTTACACTTTTTGCATAGCAGCGTGTTTTATTACTGTTTCATTGCGACTTTTCTTAAAGTAAGGGTTTTTAAAAGTTCTTCCACCACGTGTCATTTCAGCAGACTCAGCTAATAGTCTTCTGAAATGTAAACCTTGTGCCAGTTTCCCTGTACGGTGACAATAAAGGAATCTTTGATAATAGATGATAAATAACTTTTGGTGGTATAGAAGAAATTTGTTTACTCTTTAACAGGAAGGAGTGCAGAAAAGTGAAGATGTTCATGTATGTTTTAATCTGATTCAGTTTGTGTTGTTAAATCATTGAATAGTGGATGAAATATGTTTGTTTGTATGTTTGTATGTTTGTGTGTATGTGTGTCACTTATGGCTGAGCTGTTCCTTTTGCAGTGTTTATTGTGTGCAGTATTATGATTATCACACTCAACTCTGTGTCCCTGATAAGTGTTTAAAATGTTTTTGAGAGTTTTCTGCTGTCGTGAAAAAGGGAGAAGCGGAAGGTAGCTTTCATTAGTGAGAACAGAAAAAAAGACCCCTCCTGTATGCATTTCTTGTGTCAGGTGGCGCCACCTGCTGATCAGGAGCAGTATGCACCTCTGCGACTGTGTTCTCAGTAATACGGTATTTTACTGCGGGTCACTTGCCGTATCTTAGGGGAGGTTGCTGTGATATTCGGTCATGTTAGCGAGGAACGGAAATCGACCGCAAGTAAGTGTAAGTGTTGTTTATTTATTTGTCTGCCGTGTTTTCTCTCAGAATGTCTGAATTGAGGCCCTCCTCATTCTCGGATGGTTCACGCGGCGTAACGTGATCTTTGATCCGTATTTCACAGCGCTGGGACGGCGCGAGCAACAGAATTTAATCTGGCACGTTAAGCGCAAACAATCCTGTGTTGGGTGTTTTTACTAACTTTGACTGATCCGTGGTGTTACCCAGAGCTTAGAGAGAGCGCTGTTTAAACACAGACCGTGTTTCTTGCCGTATGGTGTCATCTGTTATTCACTTTTAAAAAATAAAGCGACCACAGCGAAAAAAGCACAGTAACATTTCTTGACTTTATTTCTACTTTACTGGCGTCCACGGCTTTGGCACACGCGCGGAGTTTGTAAATACTAAAGCGCGATATAGTTTATTATCTAAAAATAGCGACGTGAACGCGCATATTATGTGAGCCACACTTCCTTTACGGAAGATTTCAGTGCTTCCCTGATTGCTGGCTCCTTACTGTTAGCAAACGTTTACTCGGGCTACCGTCTTGTCACAGGGGTTATCGCAACACGTAGATGCGTGGAGTATTTCTAGAATCATAATTTCCTAAAGTCAGATGTAATCGCTCAGTGTGGGGGAAAGAATCACAACTCACAATAATTTCTGTTGAGAGCTCCAGCAGATGTTCTTAATGTACAGGCTGTTATCAGCTACCAGCTGCTCTTTGTGGATGTACACACTTGAATTCAGCCAGATGTCAGCAGACGTTTCATAAGTTGTCTTGACTGATTTCCATCCTCAACACTGAGAGGACACTGCTTGTACTAACTTTTTACTAGGCAGCCACTGTGCACCAGTCACACACTGCTCTTTACTTTAAATCCATCACAGTACAGCAAGTTAACCTGTTTATCCAGCACTAACCTGCAGAGCAACCTTATTAGAGCAAACAAGAATATTATCGCTAAAAATCAAGATCGCCTGATTTTGTACACTAACACTATCACTGGGTGAAATCCGCCCCAAACCTACTTTACCCTTTATCACTATTGCCGGTGACAATCACCCGAACACAAGACTGTAGAAAAAGCGGGCTTTGGGGTAGGGAAACACCCAAAGACACTTCAAAGACAATGCTGAAGCTACACAGGGACCCATGACACTCAGAGAAACGCAACTTATTAAAAATCATGTAAATGCGAGTTAGTCTGCCTCAGTTTGTTGTGCAGCATGTTTCACAATTTAAAAAAAAAAAAGCAATGTCACATGTCAGGACCCTATCTGACTTAAAAACATGAGGACTTGCATGTTAGTTTCAAATTTCCAGTTTATCCAGCTGAACTGAGCAGTCCTTAAATCTAACCTCTCTTCTTCTCCTGCCTTTCTTATCTTTCCCCATCTCTGAGTGAAGTTAGCTATTTTCTTTCTCTGTGAAATACAACAGTTGGACCTTTAGCTAGCAACACACTGTGCTACAAGCAGTTTGAGCGTTTGCTAATGTTTGCTGAGCTTATAGTTGCATTTGAAATAACCTGCCACAACATGTTACACCTTTATTGTTGCTCCTCTTCTGTATGGCTAGCTAGATGCTGAAGTAGCACAACAGCAACTTGTGGGTACCGGCTAGGGTTGCCAACCGTCCCTTAAAATACGGAATCGTCCCGTATTTCGAAACAAAAGTACACGTCCCGTATTGAGCTAATAAGGGACGCACTTTGTCCCGTAATACAGTGAGAATCAAAAGTAGTCTATAACTTTTAATGGAATTAACGCTTTGTTTGAAAACATAATTCCCAGCCCCTCTCCTGCTTTGTGACCAATGAGCTGACAGCACACTTACGAGTATGACAATTCAGATTACCGCTCATCTCATTGGTCGAGGAAAGGTCGCTTACGGAGAAAATACCGGAAGACAACAAATGACCACAACAACAAGCATGGCCAACAGGGAAACAAACGCCGACTCTGCGGTGCAAGTCTCGGACGACAGTAAACCTAAAGCTGGGCAAACACTGTGCGATCTTTTTCAGTCACGTTATTCAGCTCCTGCTCAAACTGCATGATTGACTCGCAGTTGGTAGGTCACGATGCAGGTCTCACACTATACCGCCCGATGCTCTGATGCGACCTGAGTGCTCACACTGTGCCTCCATAACATGAAGGTTATAACAGAAAATCTGTTGCGCTCTCTCTCTCTGTCTTTCACTCACACAGACACACCACCACCATCAACTTTGCTAAATTGCTAATGAAAAACACTCATCAGGCAGCTGTGATTGAGCAGCAGTGTAAATCCAACTGTTTTCACGGTTGTTGTGGTCGTGATAATTTTGTGATGCCACATCGAAAAGGCTCGGATGAGCTTTCCAAAGTTCTACAAGTTGTGCCTCCATCGCTTGTGTCCAGATCACACGCTGCACAGCCGTGCTGCTCCGTCTTTTACACCAACGTTTACGTGTTTGCGCGTGAGCAGTGTGAGCGGCTGTGGTGAGACCCTCACGAGGGATTGATGATCGGGAGCTGGTCGTGAGGTGTTAATCACTTCTCGTTACCCCACGTATACTACACGACGCACGATGAAGGCCAAAATCGGCCCGATCACTCAAAAATCGGCTCAAAATGGGCCTAAAACCGCACAGTGTGAGCCCAGCATTAGAGCAGCAATGTTTGTTCCCCTCAGAGAAAGGGAAGAATGGGAAAAGGAAAACACCTGGCTGGAAAAAGTTAATATGGGCATGTGCAGTGAATATCAGCGCTATGTGGCCAGAAGTGTGATAATATAATTTATTTTGTGTAATAAACAACTGCAAGGATAGATGATTACAACAAATAGATGACTAATACATAAAAGTAATACATAGATGAATAATGATGATGAGTTAAGATGCGTAATCATGGGAACAAGCGGGTTTACAAACAGGAGCAGCTGATTAGCTTTAGAAAAGCTGAAATAATACCTCAACTGAAGCCAATTGTACTAAATGCACTAAATGTGCACTGTTACAAGAATGTTTTTTTTTCTATTGTTTTCTATTATTTTAAGTTAAGCAGGACAGAGTTCTTTTAAAGAAAGATTTACTTATATTCTCAAAAGTTAAGCATGACAGGCTTCTGTTTAAGAAGGAGACCTGTTTTATTGTGTTAATGTTGTCATTTTGAGCTAAAAATAAATGGCTAAATGATCATTTGTTTCCCATGTGTTCATATCACAAAGAATATGCATCTACTTAAATCAAATTCAAGTCAAAGGGTTAAAAAAATAATTTCACACACAAAAAAAGAGCTAGAAAATTCACCACACTGGGAAGGGTGAAGACAATTGGGTCGCCCGGCCCTGGCCACGAGGTGTCCCTTATTTATTTTTCAGGGAGTTGGCAACCCTAGTACCGGCAGTCTTTCCGGAGTTGTGCTGAAAAAAACAAAACAACAGAAATTTGTTTAAAAATATAGGGAGTAAAAGTAAAAAGTTGTCAGAAAAATAAATACTTAAGTAATGTACAGATACCTGAAAATTCTATATAAGTATTTTTACTTTGTTACTTCCCACCTGTGATTTTGGTACTCACATTTTTAACATGTTTAAATTAACTAATGGTTTTGTATCCACCACCACAGTGAAGGAGGAGTTCAGTATAATCAATACCTCTCTCACTTTACTTAGGTGTGTGTGAGCAATGTCAACATTCTGGCATTTAGGGTTATTTTTAAGGGTCATTCCATATAACATAAGCTAAATCTAAGAAGACTGTTATTTATTTATTTGTATAAGAACTTTATACCAGGTATGTGTGAAGTAACAGAAACAAGCATTGATTTCATGGATGTTTTCTTTGTTTTCTGACAGCTCAGAAATCTTCAAAAGCGCTTTGGGGTAGATTTAATGGGTCATATCACCAAGTGGTCAGAACAGTCTAAAAGATGTCCTTTCCATCTATATTTTATACCAGGCTCAACGTCTAGGTGTGATTCCTTAAGGATAAAATCTTTTTCAAATTCATGTTTGCTAATCTCCTCCTTGAATCGCTACCTTATCGTGGTGGAGGGGTTTGTGTGTCCCAGGGATCCCAGGGGCTATGTTGTCTGGGGGCTTTTGCCCCCTGGTAGGGTCTCCCATGGCAAACTGGTCCTGGGTGAGGGACCAGACAAAGAGCGATTCAGAAGACCCCCATGAAAAGAATATCGAGGGAACAGTTTACCCTGCCCGGGATAGGGTTACCGGGGCCCCGCCCTGGAGCCAGGCCCGGGGAGGGTGCCCGAGGGCGAGCGTCTGGTGGCCGGGCCTTAGTCCATGGGGCCCGGCCGGGCACAGCCCGAAGAGGAGACATGGGCCCATCCTCCCGCAGGCCCACCACCCGCAGGAGGCGCCATAGGGGTCGGGTGCATTGTGAGTCAGGTGGCGGCCAGGAGCGGAGGCCCTGGCGGACCGACCCCCGGCTGCCAAGACTGGCAATAGGGACATGGAATGTCACCTCTCTGGTGGGGAAGGAGCCTGAGTTGGTGCGTGAGGTTGAGAGGTACCGGCTAGATATAGTTGGGCTCACCTCTACGCATTGTCTGGGCTCTGGAACCAGTCTCCTGGAGAGGGGCTGGACTCTGTCTCAGTCTGGAGTTGCCCCTGGTGAGAGGCGGCGGGCTGGGGTGGGTATTCTTATATCCCCTCGGCTTGCTGCCGGTACGTTGGGGTTTTTCCCGGTGGACGAGAGGGTTTGTTCCCTGCGCCTTAGGGTCGGGGAACGGGTCCTGACTGTCATCTGCGCTTATGCGCCGAGTGGCAGTTCGGAGTACCCAGCCTTCTTAGAGTCCCTGGGGGGGGGTGCTGGAAGGTGCTCCACCTGGAGACTCTGTTGTCCTGCTGGGAGACTTCAATGCTCACGTGGGTAACGACAGCGAGACCTGGAGGGGCGTGATTGGGAGGAACGGCCTCCCTGATCTGAACCCGAGCGGTGCTTTGTTATTGGACTTCTGTGCTAATCACAGTTTGGCCATAACGAACACCCTGTTCGAACATAAGAGTGTCCATAAGTGCACGTGGCACCAGGATGCTCTAGGCCGTAGGTCGATGATCGATTTTGTAATCGTATCACCAGACCTGCGACCATATGTTCTGGACACTCGGGTAAAGAGAGGGGCTGAGCTGTCAACTGATCACCACCTGGTGGTGAGTTGGATCAGGTGGCGGGGGAGGACGCTGGACAGACCTGGTGCACCTAAACGCGTAGTGAGGGTGTGCTGGGAACGTCTAGCAGAGGCCCCAGTCCGCGAGATCTTCAACGCACACCTCCGGCAGAGCTTCAACAGCATTCCGAGGGAGACTGGGGACATTGAGTCCGAATGGACCATGTTCAGCGTCTCCATTGCCGAAGCTGCTGCATTGAGCTGCGGCCGCAAGGTGGTTGGTGCCTGCCGTGGTGGTAATCCCCGAACCAAATGGTGGACACCAGAGGTGAAGGGAGCCACCAGGCTGAAGAAGGAGGCCTATCGGGCTTGGTTAGCCTGTGGGACTCCGGAGGCAGCCGACAGGTATCGACAGGCCAAGCGGAATGCGGCTCGGGCAGTGGCTGAAGCAAAAACTCGGGTGTGGGAGGAGTTCGGAGAGGCCATGGAAAAAGACTTTCGGACTGCCTCGAAGAGATTCTGGCAAACCGTCAGGCGTCTCAGGAGGGGAAAGCGGTGCTCTACCTGCACTGTGTATAGTGCTGGCGGAGCGCTGTTGACGTCGACTGAGAAAATTGTCGGGCGGTGGAAGGAATACTTCGAGGACCTCCTTAATCCCACTGACACGTCTTCCGGGGAGGAAGCAGAGTCTGGGGATGAGGGGTGTGACCCACCGATTTCCGGGGGCGAGGTCACTGAGGCAGTTAAACAACTCCTTGGTGGCAGAGCCCCTGGTGTCGATGAGGTCCGCCCCGAGTTCCTGAAGGCTCTGGACGTTGTAGGGCTGTCTTGGTTGACACGTCTCTGCAATGTTGCGTGGAGATCAGGGGCAGTACCTGTGGACTGGCAGACCGGGGTGGTGGTCCCCATCTTCAAGAAGGGGGACCGGAGGGTGTGTTCCAACTACAGGGGGATCACACTCCTCAGCCTCCCCGGGAAAGTCTATGCCAGGGTGCTGGAGAGGAGGGTTCGTCCGCTAGTCGAACCTCGGATACAGGAGGAACAATGCGGTTTTCGTCCTGGTCGCGGAACACTGGACCAGCTCTTTGTCCTCTCGAGGATACTTGAGGGTGCATGGGAGTTTGCCCAACCAGTCTACATGTGTTTTGTGGACCTGGAGAAGGCATTCGACCGTGTCCCTCGGGGCGTCCTGTGGGAGGTGTTGCGCGAGTATGGGGTGTCTGGCCCATTGCTACGGGCCATTCAATCCCTATACAACCGTTGCAAGAGCTTGGTTCGCATTGCCGGCAATAAGTCGGACTCGTTCCCGGTGGGTGATGGGCTCCGCCAAGGCTGCCCTTTGTCTCCGGTTCTGTTCATAATTTTTATGGACAGGATTTCTAGGCGCAGCCAAGTGGCGGAGGGCTTTCGCTTTGGTGGCCTCAGAATCTCATCTCTGATTTTTGCGGATGATGTGGTTCTGTTGGCTTCATCGGGTGAGGGCCTCCAGCTCGCACTGGAGCGGTTCGCAGCCGAGTGTAACGCAGCGGGAATGAGGATCAGCACCTCCAAATCTGAGGCCATGGTTCTCAGCCGGAAAAGGGTGGAGTGCCCACTCCGGGTCGGGGATGAGTTCCTGCCCCAAGTGGAGGAGTTCAAGTATCTCGGGGTCTTGTTCGCGAGTGATGGGAGAAGGGAGCTGGAGATCGACAGACGGATTGGGGCTGCGGCTGCAGTAATGCGGACGCTGCACCGGTCAGTCGTGGTGAAGAGGGAGCTGAGTGTAAAAGCGAAGCTCTCAATTTACCGGTCGATCTACGTCCCTACCCTCACCTATGGCCACGAGCTGTGGGTAGTGACCGAAAGAACGAGATCGCGGATACAAGCGGCGGAAATGAGCTTCCTCCGAAGGGTGGCTGGCCTCTCCCTTAGAGATAGGGTGAGAAGTTCGGCCATCCGGGAGGGGCTTAGAGTAGAGCAGCTGCTGCTCCACATCGAAAGGAGCCAGCTGAGGTGGTTCGGGCATCTGGCAAGGATGCCCCCTGGGCGCCTCCTGGGCGAGGTGTTCCAGGCATGTCCCACCGGGAGGAGGCCCCGGGGCAGACCCAGGACACGCTGGAGAGATTATATCTCTCGGCTGGCCTGGGAACGCCTTGGTATTCCCCCGGACAAGCTGGAGGAGGTGGCTGGGGAGAGGGAGGTCTGGACCTCTTTGCTTAGGCTGCTACCCCCGCGACCCGACCTCGGATAAGCGGATGAAGATGGATGGATGGATGGATGGACTAATGCTTGATTAAGAAAGTGCAAGGAGGGAGTAAAAATGGGCCAGCGTTACAAACTGACAAAACAAGAATTTGAAGGTTTAATAATAATGGATTGGATTTATATATGGCGCTTTTCAAGGCACCCAAAGCACTATTCATTCACTCTCGCATTCACACACTGGTGGAGGCAAGCTATGGTTGTAGCCACAGCTGCCCTGGGTCAGATTGACAGACGCGAGGCTGCCATATCGCGCCATCGGCCCCTCTGGCCAACACCAGTAGGGTAAAGTGTCTTGCCCAAGGACACAACGACCAGGACAGAGAGCCCGGGGATCGAACCGGCAACCTTCCGGTTACAGATACGCTTCCCAACCCCCTGAGCCACAGTCGCCCAAACAATTTCACAAACAATCACTTCAGTCACTTCTTTACCATAAACCTGGGCTCATTTTTGATCCGAGGAAAACAAGCTATATTTCAACCAGCCCCATGTACTGTCTATAGTTATACATCATACAGTAATGATATGATGGTAAAATGTTGCATGCCTTGTGGGTGATCGTGGCTCAAGAGTTGGGAGTTCGCCTTGTAATCAGAAGGTTGCCGGTTCGAGCCCCGGCTCCGACAGTCTTGGTCGTTGTGTCCTTGGGCAAGACACTTCACCCGTTGCCTACTGGTGGCGGTCAGAGGGCCCGGTGGCGCCAGTGTCCGGCAGCCTCGCCTCTGTCAGTGCGCCCCAGGGTGGCTGTGGCTACAATGTAGCTGCCATCACCAGTGTGTGAATGAGTGGATGGCTTTGGGGTCCTTAGGGACTAGTAAAGCGGTATACAAATACAGGCCATTTGCCTTCACTGTATAAGCGAACATAAAAAAACAAATTGCTGATTCCAAGCGGTTCACATGGCATGCACTCACTGATTTATCATGGAATAATCTGATAACGTAATGCCTTTTAAAAAGAAGAAAACATTTATCCTTGAAAATTCATGTTCATTATTTGTATTATATCATTAAATATGCAAAGAATATATTTAACAAAAATCTGGTACAAACTAGAAAAAGAGAATGTTTGCCTTCAAAATAAAACGTTGTGCTTACCACTGCAATACATTTGAAAAGGTTTCAAATTTTTTACTTTGAATGTTATTGTGCTCCATTTCCAGTTTGTGTCAAACTTTCCACATGAACTACCACTAGCAAGTAATAATAATAATGGATACTTTATTGATCCCCATGGGGAAATTACTTGTTTTTCTCTGCATTTGACCCATTCACTCTGTGAAGCAGTGGGCAGCCCACTAAGCAGGCGCCCGGGGAGCAGTGTGTAGGGACGGTACCTTGCTCAGGGGTACCTCAGGGTAGCCGTTAAGTGGATTCGAACCGCCGACCTTCCGATCATGGGGCGACCACTTTACCTACTGAGCTATCCCTGCCCCTAGTTTTCTAATGTAGGATCTAAAGGATAGCTGAAAACTATAACTGAGAAATACCTTGTCTCTCTCTACAGACATCAGTGGAGAAACAGACCACAAGGACTGAGCTGAAACTCTTACCACTCTGTGGACAAGAAGAAGAACCAATAGCTGACTCATTTTCCACAAGGCTATCAGATCACAGCCATTTATTCAGCCACAGTCATTACGTTTCACTGCTGTGGTAAGTGCTAGTGGACTGCTATATCATATTGGGACACTGTAAATGTTGACCTAAATCCTCCAGAGCAGATTCTTTTTGACTTTTTTTTTTGTCATCACATGACAAATTCCCCAATGCCTCGATGGAAAGTGTTCTTGAGCCAGTACCTGCGATGGTCCAGCACAGTCACTCAAGCCTTCGCCCTGTCCATCATCACATTTTGTGTCATATTTCCTCTGTGCTGCCATCGTCTGCTGTACTCTTACTACTTCATTAAGTCCATGTACCTCGATTCTATGAGTGAAGTGGTGCTGCGGGAAAGCCTAGATCGAGGTCAGGAGGCTCTGCACTTCTGGCAGAGCTCTTCAACTGCAGCAACGTCCAGATTCAACAACTTCACTCAACATCCTGAACTGCTGGTCACTGTGGTAACAGCCAGGCGGAAGGAGGCACGGGACTACCACTACCTGCTCCAGGTAATGCTGCAGCTGAGTAACATTGTGGGAAGCTGTGGGGAGCAGAAGTGCGCGGAGGTGCTGGTCTGTGATGTGGAGAGTGGCCCGCAGGAAAACCAAGATGCCAAGGTGCTGGAGAGCCACTTCAGGGTGGTCCGGCGTTCACCTCAGGAGCAGCAGAGCATACAGGAGCGAATTAATACCTTTGAAAAGGAGAAGAGGGATTATGTCTTTTGTCTCCGCAGAGGCTGGGATCTGGTGAAGCCTAAAAATATTGTCGTTCTAGAAGATGATGCTTTGCCAAGAAATGACTTTTTCATTGTTATAAAGGATTTGTTGTCACGTAGGTTTGCTCTTCACACTCTTTACATCAAGCTATATCATCCTGAAAGGCTACAACGCTACTGGAACCCTGAGCCATACCGCATTCTGGAGTGGGTGGGGCTGGGATTGGTTGGCGCAACGGCTCTCCTCCTCAGCTTTCCTTACTGGAACCCTTGTTCTTTCTCGTTCACCCTGTCCGCTACCCATCTCCTCTTTTTCACTCTATACTTTATGACCGCTGCAGAGTTGTTGGGGCGGCATTACCTTCTAGAAGTCCGGAGAATTTCCCCACAGCTGTATGCCGTCTCGCCAGCTACCGAGTGCTGCACCCCAGCCATGTTGTTCCCTGGCAATGCCTCATTAAGGGTGGCTGAGTATCTAGACAGTTCATTCTGCTACAAAGGGCATGCTAAAGACATTGTTCTGTATCAAATGGCCAGGACAGTCCCTGGGCAGAGGTCCCATAGTGTAGAACCCAACCTCATCAGTCACATTGGGGCTTATTCCTCAGTCAGAGCTAACCCATCCAGGCCCAAGCTCCTCTAACAGAAGAAGAAGAAGAACTTCTGACTGCAAGGTTCACTTTAATCTGGTTTCTCCTTCCTGGGTTTTGCTTTTTTACCATCTTCTAGACTCTTTAGAAATCTTAACAAATTACTCAGTGAATGTTGGTTTGGTGATTTGCATTGAAAACTATCAAGATCGATATATTAGTAGATGTCTACGTTCCAGCTTTTAGACGCACATGTGTTTTTAGTTCTCCATCTCTCTGATATACATTTATTTTAATCCACCCTGCACAAATTGTGTAAAAGGTGGTGATGGTTTTTCTTCAGAAGAGGTTGAAAACCACACAAATTAATGCAGGAAAATAGCATGTCCTAAATTATTTTATATAGAAATGTTAGATGGCAGAAAATGTTACTTTGACCCATACCTTGAAAGCCTCTGCCACTTCTTTATTGCCAAATCATCTAACCCACTCTCACTGAGCTGTGTGGGACCCTTCTGAAAAAAAAAATGTAAACGGTTCTCTTCTTTGTTTACCTTTTTAAAAAAGAAGCCAGATGCTGCCAGAATGCCTGTTTTTCCTTTGTCTGTCCTTTGACTGTTAAAGGATTTATTCGTTTTTTATATACAATAATCACAGTAAAATAAAATGTAACTCCTTAGAGTAAGGAGAGACCAATTCACCAGACTATGCCTAAAGTTTCTAAAGTTAAGTTACAGTGGAACTGGTGTGTGAGAGCGATAGCTGATTTAGTCGCCTGTCGTGTTTACATATTTACATTAACCTTTTGCAAATATGAAAGTGGGTAGAGCCATTGGCTGTTGTACTCTTAGATTGAAATAGGTTTTAATATTGTATAAAAGCTAAACATATCCGTATTTTGCCACCTGGGATTTTCCTCCAAAATGGTATGAGCATTCAGAAGTCAGCTCTAATTGCTGTTTGCTGCAGATTTTCTTTTCAGTTGTCTCACACTCGCTTTCTTTCTCTAGTTATGCCTGTGTGTGTATTTGCATGTGGTGATGAAACATGAGCCCTGGCTCATGAAAGACTAATGTCTGAGGACGACATTCCTGGTTTGCGTGTGGATTTCTTAGTTTTAATTTAACAGGTTTAGTGATGTAACAGAATGTACACTAGTGGCGGTTCACTCACAATGAACAGTCTAAAATTTTGGTTTCAGCTCAGGCCTGCTCTTTGATTTGATATACCTTTATTAGTCCCACAAGGGGAAATTTCATAAGGCCTCCGACCTATTGCATGCAATGGTGGCGCCATCTTACCCTCCAACCATACATACATTACAAAAAACATCACATGGGGAAGACGGGTCAGAGAGGTATAACAATGGAAAATGCACCACATGAGGAAAGATAAGGAGAAAAAGATAACTCCCCCCCCCCCCCCCCCCCCCCCCCCCCCAGACTGACCTCCAACAGGGAGATCAGTTTGAGAACAGAAAAAAACCCACCTCTGCACATGAAAAAACTCTTAATACACCAAAGAAACACATGACAAGCAACAGGGGAGGGTAAAGGGTGAGAGGCAGCCGAATTAGACGTTTGCTGGTCTCCTTGATCCCCGTCAGCATCGGATTTCTTAGTTACTGCTATTAACCTTTTGCATGTGGCTCCTATAAAGCTTACACTGATAAGAGCACATTTATCACTGAAGTGCACAGTACTTGTTGACACACTGCCCATGAGTTCATTCAGTAGACAGAAACGCTTTCTGTTTTGTAATCCAATGCTGAGCTGGTTGAGCAAACACTCCTTCCTGCTGATTCTGAAACAAAAACCGCCTGCTCTTCCTAAAAACACCGAAATTCTGTTTTACTGACTGGCTGCAAGCTCGTTAGAGAGTATCAAAGTGAATCTTGGCCAGAAACGGGAAAATGAGAAATTTGCCAAATGTACACATCACATCACATACATCACAAATTTGCCTTATTTTAATCTTCGTTTTTTGTTAGATTTTTTTTTTTCTAAATTTGAGTGAATGTTAGCAATTCATTAAGGACTGAAATATTAGAAAGCACAAAATGTCTTAATTATATTATTTTGTGTTGACAGGAGATAATTTATTTGGTAAAGGGCTAAGTGACAAACCGGATTTATCTACAAGCGTTATATTTTATTTGTGGCTGGTTTGAGTAAATGCCATTATCTATGATTACTGGTCTGATTTTTTTCTTTACCTATAAAGAACACTTATTAATTAATTAATACACACCACACACATTTAGAACATAAATTAAAATATGACAGAATATCAGTTTTAAATAAAAGAAAATCATTAAAATCAAATCATTGATTTGGAAAAATTATTAATATTTTGTTTAAAAGAAGATAGATGTTCACTTTAGCTGTGGCTGTACAAGAGAAGTTATCAGAGCTGACTGCTTCGGTTTTTATTTGGGTTATTTGGCTTTCTCATATATACACTGGATGTATTTCATTTCTAAATCATCAATATTGATGTGACTGTTCACTGTCATAAATATTTAATTTGAGTTAAAATTGTGTGAGATTTAAAGGATTTTCTCTTTAATGCTTCTCTTCTGTATGGATGTTGGTCAGAATTATTGAATGACCTGAACTGAGTGATACATTTAACTACTTCTGCTGTTTGTTTTTTGTTTTCAAGCACTGATATTTTTACTCTAGTAAGCTGAAAAATTGTATTTCAATTTTCACTTCTGATTTGGATTTTCACATGTCTTGTTTTCACTGTGATTCTTTTACTGATTTTACAATTAATACAATAAATCTTTTGAGTTTTGAGTTATTTGTCTCTCTGGGTGTTTGTATTCAAGCACCATCTTTGTTACTGTTCAGGATAAACCCAATAAGGTGCTGGATGGGGTTTTAAAGATGGGGAGTTCTGGACTTCATTGCACACGGTGAGACAAACATTGAAGCTGAACCATCCAAGCTGTTGCCATGAGCCAGGTGCTTAGCTGAGCTTTGGTGTCCCTGAGATTAGCAGTGTCCTTCAGAGAGCTCTCATAATTCTTCCCAAAACATCGGATCCCTTGTTCTTGGGTTAGAATCTCTGACCTTTGGATGCTGAAGGTGTTTTTTGTCAGATTCATCAATTGGATTGATGAAGTCATCATGATTACATCGTCCATGAACTCTCGGCAGGCAGGATGTCTTGTGCTGTCATCTGATGTCATCTCTGCACTGCGTCCCTCCACCTCTAGCAGTGGTGATGAACAAAAACAGTGTCCATGCCATTTAGTGGGGTTCTTTCCTTATCACTCGCCTTCAGCCACCTTTTCTTGAGCGTTCATAGTTTTTCCTGTACTTCCCTTTATCCTGTGATCTGTTGCTGGTGTCTGATTAAAGCGTTTAAACTCCAGGTCATCCAAACTTTCAATTTCATCCCCTCTCTCTGTGCTCTGAACAAAATGAGCTGAGAGGTCTGGAGCACTGTGGTGTGCCTCCTGGCTCTGGTCCTCTGCTGAGCATAGCTAATATACTGCTCAGGCATAACAATCATTGCTTTGTCTTACTGCCTTACTTTATTCACACCCTCTCTTAACACGCACAAGTAACAAGCACAAAGAAATTGAAGACAAATAGGAAAAAAGAAGAAAATATAATAATGGATAGAGTACAAATAGAAATACAAATATACAAATCAACAATCTCCTTGTGTTTTGTGTGTGAGTGAGTGAGTGAGTGAGAGAGATGATGTGTATGTATGAGATCTGGGCCATCCGCATCCCCCAAGAGTACCAAAGACCTGAAGCCACACATCTTGACAAATTGTCTCCACCTCAGCAGGAGAAGGAGGGAGACCCAAGATGAAATGCCCAAAGGTCGATAATCACAGAGAATCAGAGGCAATGAAGAAGAACTAGATCTCAGACTCTGCAGGCATCAGTTATCATGACAGCACAGTTGGAAAAATACTGAACAAGCCCCATGCAACAAGTATGTCATGCAAGGAAGGGTTGCAAAGAGAAAGCCTCTTTTTTTCTAATGCAGCAAGAGTACTGTGTTACGACCCCCTCTGCTAGGTGTCAGGGGAGGAGTAACGTACACAAGCCCCCCCACACAAAACTGAGTAAAGTAAAAGGTTTTAATGTCAAACTTTAAACAGAAAACCGACAGGGCTGTTCAACAGTTATTGGGCATATAGTTATTACATAAAGAACAAACGAAACAGTCAGGCGTAAAAGCTAAGGGTCAACTAAAGCAGGCTGGCGGCACACAAAATAAAAGCTAAGGGTAACTAAGGCAAGCCAGGATCACAAAACTCTAATGAAACTAAGTTGAGCTGTATATCAGGTTTAAACAAAGAGCAACACAGCAAACAGGTTTAACATGCAAAGCAGACGAGGAGGCCACTGCATGTTCACTTCAGACCAGCAGTTTCCCCCCTAGTGTGAAGGCTCTTCAGCCTTTTATACTCCCAGGTGCAGACAATCAGCCAGTCAATTGGTCATGGAGTGGTCATGGGATCTCCAGGCAGCCAATCGTCCGCGAGGTCTGGCACACTTAGATTTGCATAAGCACAAAAGGGTAGTCTCACTCTCTCCAAGGCCCAGGGCCGTAACACCCCTCCCCTTAAAATACAAGACTATGTTTTGTATACACAGATTTCAATATTCGTGACAGACAACAAAACAAGTCATAATCACAGCCGGGAGAGGCCATCAGCTAGTACAGTTTCTGATCCTTTTATATGCCGAATCTCCAAATTGTACTCTTGTGGCAGCAAGGCCCATCGCATGAGCCTTTGATTGTGGTTAAACATTCGGGCAAGAAATACAAGTGGATTATGATCAGTGTACGCTACAATGTGCCAGACCCCAAGTACACATGGAAGTGCTGAAGAGCTAGCAACAGGGCCAATGTCTCCTTTTCAGTGGTGGAGTAACTTAACACATGCTGATTAAATTTGCAGTGGAAATAACAAATGGGGTGGTCCAATCCCTGCAAGTCTTTTTGCAACAGTACTGCTCCAGCCCCAACAGCACTGGCGTCAATTTCTAACTTGCATGGTTGCATCAAGTCGGGTGCAGTTAACACAGAAGTGTGGCATAGCAGGGATTTTGTACTTTTAAGGTAACCAAGTAAAAATAAGTAAGTGAGTAAAATAAGTAAGACAAGTACTTTATCACTTACTCTGAGGTGTCTTTTTAGAGAAGCCTTATCATAAGTGCGTTTCGTTTTTCTTTGTGAAACGGCAATGAGCTGCTTAGCCAGAGCATTGACCTGACCCCAGTCCACACTTCCTGCACCAGGTGGGTACTATTGACACATTAGCACATTTTGCTCTATGGAATAGGCTTGTTGCTCATGGTTGGCTTGCTCAGCACTTACCACACGCTTAAAACATGGCTTTAATGATTCGCCAGCTATCTGAGCTGTCGACAGGTTTTCTCTGGTCAAAGGCAGTGGAATATCTTTTACAGATGGACCAGGCTCCTCAGGATTCACCAAGTCTGGGGAAGACAAAACATTGTTGTCGTCAGGTAACACGGCACCCTCCTAAGAAAATGAGGTCATCAACACAGAATCAGCGCGGGTAACGTCACCATCTTTACAGGCTTGGGCACGAGTAACCACACAGGCTGGGTACAGCTTTAGGGTCACAGAAACATCTGGGGCATCACAACTGAGGGGCTTATCCAGCACCTCCAGACTAGGACGCACTAATCCGCCCGCATTATAATTTCCTAGCAACATGGCCACCCCCTCTATGGGTAAGGTTGGGCATACTGCGACGGGGAAAAATCCCGTAACGAGTTCTGACTTGATATAGACCTGGTGAACGGGTCTGGGAGCATAACCCATCTCTATTCCACGCAGCACAACATTAAATCCGCACGCACTGTCTGCTGAGAAAGGTAAAGCACTAGAAAGGATTAAGGTCTGAGACCCTCCGGTGTCAGTATGCGCACCGATTTTAGATCAGTGAATTTATCAGTTAGCGATACAAAACCATCAAAGATAAATGGATCAACAAGGGTCTGGCACCTTACCACCACAATCAAGCACCTCAGGATGGAACGCTGCTTTCACAAAGGCAACACCTTTGGGTTGCTGAGAATTCACTGTTTTGCGTTTCAGGGCCAAACAGTCCGCAATGACATGTCCCAGTTTATGACAGTGGAAACACTCTCGACTCTCTTTAGAGCCCAAGGGTTTAACAGTGCGAGCCTGCTGCACAGCACTAAACTGTGACTTCTCTTTAACCAGAAAAGAGGACTTATGGGTGAGCATATACTCGTCTGCGAGAACTCCTGCAGTCGCTAAAGTGGTTACTTTCTGTTCATTCAGGTATAACACTATACTCTCTGGAAGACACTTTTTAAAGTCTTCCAGCA